CAATCTTTCCTTTTGTAATAACATATATCACAAACTTAGTACTTAAATGTTTTCAGTATCCACCCAATTATCATCAACTATATAGTTAATCGTAACCAACTCCCACAATGCTATCAAAACATCCTGAAGCTTTTTATCATCCCAAACAGAAATTGTGTCCTCCAAATAATCACCCCTTGCGCACTGTCCTTCTGGCTCTGGTTCCCTCCTTTCTACTTCCTTTCCCTGTGAATCAGGCTCACTGCCCTGATGCCAGTGAAATTATTAATCCTTTTGGGACCATGTTATCTCACTCAACCAAACATTTTGCAAATGATTTTGTAATATGTAATACAATACAACTGATACTGTAGTGTATAGTAGAGCCCTATTCAGTTTTAATCCACGGTGCCTTTGTCTTAACAAAAATACCATACAAAAAATAACCTTAAAACAGCAGAAAAATAACCTTAAAACAGCAGAACTTACCCTCAGGGTTCGCAGTGAGCAGTCCCAGACAGTTCTGCCAATTGTCTGGTATTTGGTAAGGACCCCACTTTCATTCATGGACGATGTTATCCTTGAGGTCTTCACTGTGAAAGGAGCAAGGCAGCTCCCTGGAGCCTCTTTGATAAGTCGTAATCTCTTTTGTGACTCTCTGCTTTTGCACAAGGTGATATTATAATACACCTAAACACTATGTTTTGTTTATGCTTGGCGAACATTTGGCTGTTTCAATTTGTTGCTGCTGCTGCTAATACTGGTATACAACATTTCCACCCCTACTTTCACTTCTGTGGGATAAAACTAGAGGTGGGATTGTTGGATCCTGTGGTAACTCTCTGCTTAACTTTTAAGCACCCACCAAGGTTTCCACAGCATATACACAGGTCATTCCCATGATCAGTGCGCACTGCTCCAATTCTTCCCATCTTCTCACTTACTGTTTTCTGACTTCTTGGCAATAGCTGTCATAATGAATATGAATTATTGGTTTTTCACATGTTCATCAGACATTTACATAATTTCTTTGAGAAACATCCTTCTTAGCCTTTGCCCATTTTAGAATTGGACTGGAGCTTCTGCTGTTGTTTTTGAGTTGTGAAGAGTCTTTATATATTGCGGATGGCATTGTATTTCCCTAGATTTCCTTGTTCCTTGGACAAAATACTGTATTCCTAAGGTCTCTTTTTATGGTGGACATTGAAATTACTCTTTTATATGTCATCTCCAGTGACAAAATGAGCTAATTCAAGACAAGTTAAAGTATATAAATGCAGGTTTATTAGGAGCTCAGTGGGATCACTGGTCCCAAAGAACAAGGCCAGAGAAACTGACATGCAGGAGACAGAAAAGTGTGCAAGCAGAAAGAGAGAGAGAAGGGAAGAGGGGAAACCAGATGTCTGGGTTATATAGTGGAGAGTCTCTGGGTGAGGGGAAATACCCTCATGGGCTTGAGAGTTCAGGGCAGAGGGCAGGGTATACCAGCCATGCCCTGCAGCAGGTAGGGACCAAGGGATACTGGGAGCAGCTAGAAATCAGGTCTGCCTTGGTTTAAAAGGTACCTTAGCTGCTTGTCCTGGGTCTGAAGCCAAACAAAAGCCACCTCTAAATATCATTTGTCCCTAACTTTACCAATTTTAAGTGTCTCCTTTGATAAGCCTTGACATATAGGCAAGAGATAGTTACTAGTAATTTATTATATGCAAAAACCCAGCTTGGTAATTAGGAAACTGAAGTTATTTCCATTAAATGAACAAAAGGGTCTAGTTTGCCAAATTAAATTCATGGTAGCCATTTACCAACATGCTTCTCAACTTCCATTCCAGTCCTCTATTCTCTTTTTGCTGAGGCTCTCGAGAACTAAACGGTGCCTCTTCAGCAGTGCATTAACAAGAAAGCTGTTCAGGCTTGAGTTTCAGTGCCTCTCCCTTGGATGGGTGCCTTCTAGGACACTGCAACCCAATTACAGACTTGCAGTCTTTGTTACAGAAGTGCCCCCTCCTCCAGCTTTACAGGCTTCAGCCCCACAAAATCCAGATGCGCCTCTGGATGTTTCTTCCATCCAAAACCATCTTTTAATTACCGCCGCTCTGCTGGAAAGTCAGCATGGGGTCTGCTAAGTGTCAAGTTATTTGTGACAGGCTTTCCTCCTAACGGAGTTTCTACTCTGAAGTGCCAAGCTACCACACTTCTTACAGAAGGAAATGGGCTATGGGCATTTCTAGACAGCAGCCCCAGCATGCTCTATTGGATTTTGCACTAAGTTCTATTGGCACATAGTACTTGCTTCGTTTTAGGCACTTAGAAGAACATGTCAACCAAATTCTGGGACTGTGGATCCTAATTGTGAATTTAAAATTGTGTGTGGCCTTTCACGCTCCACACAGAGCCACTTATAGAAATGTGTGTTTGTACAGTGGGAGCAAAGAATGCCGTCTGTAGAGATGGTGATGAATCTTTGGAAACTGCACAACTTCCTAGTCTGCTCAAGGCCTTCTGACCCGTTAGCTAAGTAGAATCTCATTGCGGGGGGGGGAGGGGGGGCAGAAAATGATTAAAATTTCAATCAGAACATATTCTCTCTTGCTTAGCTTGAAGACATTAATGGAAAAAATTATCAGTCTACATAAACCTATTTTATATTATCATATTTTCCTTGAGAAATTCAATAACTCAAATTATTTGTAAGAGTATATCTGAGCAAAATAACAGCACACCACAGTCCCCTGCTAAGAAGTCTTTCTTATAAATAAATAAGTTAATTAATTAATCAATCTAATTTTTCTTCCTTTTGCCATTTCTTTCTCTTATTCTTTTTTCTTTTTCTTTATTTTCCTCAACAACTCCAACCCAAGTCCACTAATTGGTTCAAATCAAGGTATATACTCACCAAAGGGTACCCAAGCATTGGCTACCAGAACCCAGCCACTATGAGAGTAATCTGAGTAAGAAGTGAGGTGTAACACAGAATCCAGAATGAGTTTGGAAGCTCTCCTGAATGTGGAAGGACGATAGCATACTAAATACTAGCATTCTAGTAGATACTGGAATCTATGCAAGGAAGTGCATAGAGGAGTTAAGTGTGTTGAGGTTAATGAGGAATGGCCTGCTCATTGACAGGAAACACCACCACGAAATGTGGAAAAGGGAAAAACATGGAACTGGTGTCTGTGATGTTGGTACCATCTTGGACCCAGAACTAAGCATATGTTGGTAGGATGGTAGGGAAATAAGAAGAGGCACAGAAGCCACAAGAAAGGCCTCCAACTAAGGGCAACTTAAACATCAAAATAAATATTGATGAATTAATAGCCCTTTAAATATAATAGAAATCTCTGAGTCCATATCATAAAAGTAAATAAACTAAACATTTGATAGTGAAAACTATATTTATATAGTTTCCAAGTAATGCCATGTAAGATATTTCTTAATTACAAAGTTTTCACCTTTTAAAAAGGCTAATTTTAGTGGAAAATCCATGCACCCCTCCCATACTCAAGTGACTAGAATGAGCATCTTCATTAGTAGAACAAAGTGAATTCCTGCATTAAAATAATGTATTATAACTTGTGATGTCTACATTTACAGTCCAAATCTAAACATGAAAAAAAATCAAAAAACCCAAATACGATGGTATTTGTTTGCTCTCGTTTGATTCCTGTTGCTATGATAAAATGACCTGACTAAAGTGACTAGGAGTAGAAAGGGTTTATTTTAGTTCACAGTTAGTTTATTATAGTAAAGAAATCCAGGTGGAAGGAACTTAGAGAGTTGGCCACAGCCAACACATTTACCTGCTTCCTTGCTTGCCTGTGTTCAGCTTCATTTCTCCACTCCTCTACAGGCCAGGCCTCTTGCCGAGTGAACAGCACCACCAAGAGTGGGCAAGGCCTTCTCCAAATCAACTAACACTTAGTACTCAAGACAATTTCCACACTTTGTGGGGACTTTTGGTGCTGCTGGTGGCTGATCAGGACTATTCTGAGAGTTCCTGGGGCAGTCTATCCTCATGCCTTTCAGGAGCTTGAGATTATATTTATTTATGGCTGCTTCAAGATCTCATTCAACTTCTAAGTGGCATATGTAGACTGTGCTATCACTGTTAACATCTCTTCTGTGAAGCCATTTGAAGACTCAAATAACCTCGCCTCACTAAATCAAAGGACACAGTGGTATTGACAATAGAGTCTCATGACCAGAACCAGTCCACCTTGATGACTGTTAGAGGAGCTGGGGATACAGTGGTAAAGAGCATACTGCTCTTCCAGAGGACCCAGGTTCAATTCCCAGCACACTCATGATGATCCACCACTGTCTGTAACTCCAGCTCCACAGGATCCAACACCCTCTTCTGGCTTCAGCAAACACTGCCTGCAAGTCCTGCAGAGACATACATGCAGGCAGAACACTCATATGCAAAAAAAAGAATAAAATAAAATTTCAGCTCCAGCAGCACCTGGAAACCCTTGTGCAGGGCACTTAGTATGGAGACCATTGGAGCCGCTGTGTGAGGCAGGATGAGTGGGACAAATGCTCCTGTTGGCAGCTGGGAGTTACTCACCTCATCTCTGCGCTTAACAATCATAGCATGTTTTGTTATCTTTTCAGGGAAAAAGCTGAGTATATGCTTTCTATCACACAAAAACCTTTAAAGCTTATGGTTTAGATGCCATGTTGGGACTGCTCACAGGGTGCTACTATTAAGGAAACTGGGGGCCTTTGTACTTTGCTGTGCCACTTCCCACACAGTCCAGCAGATGGTAGCCTCGGCAGGGACAAATCTTTTCCTTCCCCTTCCCCAAGTGACAAGCAGACCCATTTGGAAACCAGAAGCTCTGTGGCTCAACACTGTGTTTTCCCTTCTCCACATGGGAAAATGATTCCCAAGCGTGTTCTCTGCATGGGTGTTAGGGTAGAGAGCATCTAGCACAAGAAGGAGTCCAAAATAGCTCTGTGTTTATGTGTGCTAGATCATGCAGCATTCTGAACATTTTTTTTCTTGTTTTCATGATTTTCAGAAATTCCTCTGATTTTATATCTCTTTGCCCTGGTTTCTATGACATGGCTCTGGGGAGGACTGCACATGGCCTACAGACACTTCTGGATGCTGGTTCTCTTTGTCATTTTCAACAGTCTGCAGGTAAGCCATGCCTCAGAGGCCACACACAGCTAGTGAACACAGTGCACCAAGTGTCAACTGTCAAAACGTAAAAGTATATATATATGTGTGTGTGTGTGTGTGTGTGTGTGTGTGTGTGACTTTGTATACACAATGACATAAGAAGTTTTATAGGAACATGGCGGCGGCTCAATATTTAACATTTGAAATACAGCTGGAGTTCCAACTTACCCATCATGTATATGTGAGAAGGAAAATGTTTACTTGTTTCTTCTCAGCAATATTAAGTAACTGCATATGTTCTTCATGGATAGTTGTGATCTGATGGCAGTCACGCAGAACTGATGCATATATGTGGGGCATAGTGTCTACACATTACGTCAGCTGAACAGTGAAATTCATGTTTAAGCAATTTCCTCTTAATGTTTAGATATAAAAATATTTCAGTGACTAGAAGTTATTGGACTGCCTTCTTGAGTTCAGTAATGGCAAGTTTAAACTAATTTTACAAATATGTCTAGGTAGTATAACTAAAGGCTATACATACAGTAAAATTTAAAGCTGACTTTTTAGTGCTTTTTTGACATGGGGAAATCTTGCATCCTGAAATTATCAAATGGAACAAATGAACACATTTTTCTTGTTATCCAAAATAAAATAATCTCGTAGACTAAAGTAATTCAATAAAATTACTAAGAATACCTTTACAATGTCATTATTTTTGTTAACCGTCTTGTGAAAATGTGTATAAATATACACAGTTAGAATCGAAACATGCAACTAAAATAGGATTCAACACATGAAGTCCATGGATCAAAACCTAAGAGAAGAGAGGAGGAGGGGAGCCAAATTCTTCAATCAGAATACAGCCTACATGATGGCATTTATTCAAAGTGCATCATCTGGTTAGGAAGGGAAAGCCATGAAGTGATCTAAACGTTTGGAATCAAGTGGACACATGGACATCTCTAGGTAGCACAGAGCATCATGGAACACTTACTCTGCCAGGAAGTACACTGGGACGGACAGTGCCTACACAGTGGGACTGATGACTGAAAAGAGTAAACCATTAGCTACAGTGCATGCTATGGCAGACGGCACAGACACTGAGTATTGTAAGAGCTGACGGGCCATTTTCCTCTGTCCCAACATGAAATCTGAGTACAAAGTGAGGCAAGGTCCACAATGACAGCCTACTGTTGTGTGACACAACTTTTCCTGGGGAGAAGAAACATACTCATCTACTCTCCCCAGATAGGGAACCTACAATAGACCAAAGTATGGACACCACCAAGGTCTAACTTGGTGAACCAATGAGTTTCATCAGGGTTACTTAAGGAATATGAGTGAGAAGTTACTTACAGGAGCAAAAATGACTCAGAGACAGCTGCATCACCAAGGCCCACCCCAGCATGGGCAACAGCTCGCAGAGCTGGGGACCTGGAGCACACTGGACAGCATACAGGCAGCTCAGGAGGTTGGAGGGGATCCTTTCTTAGGTGCCTCAGTGGACTAAACCTCTTCCAAACAGCATTTCTGCTTCTTCCTAGCTAGTCTCATAGTCTTCTCTGCAGCTCGTCTTGTCTGGATGTTGTCTTTGCTGCTGGGCTCTGTTTACTCTGGCACAGAAGGGGCAAAGGAATCTGGTCAGTTTCAGAGACTTCCGGAAGCTATTTTTCAGTTGTTTAGCTCCCTGTTTAAGCAGCACCCCTGCAGGATGGAATGTTTTGATCTTGGAGGAAACCGTTGGACAACGCCTGCACATGTACTTTATTTGGTAGCTGCACCGTGGTCCACAGGAGTGGTTCCTGTTTTTACATATTTACAAATTAGGAAACATTGAAAACCTGCATTTCTACCTTAGAAGGCAGTGCTTGCATAGTGGTGGTTTTCAAGCCCTGAGAAGAAGCCACTCATGTGGAGTATGTGACGTCACATTATATGTGGTGTGCTTCATCGCCAGTACCTGAATCCATAACATCCTCCATGCCCATCAGACAAATGAAGAATGTGTGGCTATCAATGGGCTATGTTCAGGCTGAGAAAACAGTGTTAGCTAAGGCTGTAAAAGAGAAAGGTGGTTGATATTGTCTAGAGTGAGAAGAAGGCTGACAGGAGGAAGAAAGGTCTCGGAGGAGACAGATAGTACAAGTTGACTTAATAGCAGCTCCCCATGCTCCCTTGGGATGGCCACTGTCAGCCTTACCTAATAGGAAGCCTTCGGCGTCTTCAGTGTTTTATCCTGACAGATTCTTATTGTCAATTTTAATCTTTTTCTCCCTCTTCTCCCTCTGGATGGGGTGACATGCTCATACTCTCATGCTTACCCTTTCAGAGAATGACTGGACATGTTTAGAATGGAGTGGCTGTTGTCACCTGAACTCTGGGTATTCTGACCATGTTTCTGAGGTGAGGGGCAGGTGACATGTTTTGGAGTTGTTGAGATTTGGTTAGTGAACATGGAGTGTAGGAGAGGAACGTCATCAAGAAGTGATAAGTGGATGTGTACACCTTCATGTGATGACGTGGCGACCATAGTTCTGGAGAATGGGCAGAACTGGTGAGGTTTTGGAGAGCCTGGTAGTTACAGCAACACTTTTGTGACTGTGTATGTGGAGATGCTAGTTAAAGAATTATTGAGGAGTGATCAGGGAGCACGGAGGAGAATCAGGTTAGGAATCTGAAGTCACTATAGAAAAGAAAGCTTCAACAAGAAGCTGTACCTCCTCAGTGTCTGAGGCAAAGACAAGAGGAAGAGAACATAAGAGCAATGTGACTTCATGGGGTGGTTCCGAAACCTTTCTGTGCAGGCAAGGTCCATCCACTATAGGAAGGGGCCTGTCAATAGGTATATCATTAGGCCTCATTCACAGAGCTGCTGTTAGAGTATCTGAGTAGACTCTGGAAATGTACATTTCTGACAAGTTTCTGAGTGATGCAGAAACAATGGAGTATCGGTCTCTTCAAGTCTCCCTGGGCCCAGGCGTTTTGGCTCTGTTATTCTCCTTGTGGAGTTCCTGTCCCCTCAGGTCTTTCTACCTCCCTCTTCTTCCATAAGGATTCTGGCACTCTGCCCGGAGTTTGCCTATGAGTCTCAGTACCTCCTTCGATACCCTGACGAGTAGAGTCTTTCAGAGGCTTCTGTTGAAGGCTCCTATATTATCTTTTCTTTGACATCCTTATTACAAGCTAAGTATAAGTGAAACCTGAAAGTAGTTCAAGCTCATGTGTGATGAGTGTGACTGCCTGTGTGACACAACTGAAGCAATGATTCTGGGTGGCAGTACTGCTTGGTACTCAGTACCTGGCATATTTCTTATCCCAGGTCTCGGTAAGTCAGTCCTCAGAGCTACACCTACTAAGGAGTATTTGGAAAAGGTTGTTCCTCTGGAGTTGCTAGTGTTGACTTATTTACAAACTGCCTTTAGGCTTCAACCTAAGCACTTCTGTGCAGTAGAATAGTAAGATCTGCCAGGTATGTTCCATGAAGAGTCAATGATTTGTGTTCCATTTTTTTGTTTGGTTTTGTGACCACAAAATTATATTGTGTATTTATATATTTGCCCAGGGATTCCTGCCTCATCTTTTAAAATCCAGAGTATTATAATGCCGTGAGTCCTGTGAGAGTGATGAATACAAAGTGCATTTCTTTACTACATTGGTTTTTGTATGTATTGTTTGATACATTTTAAATAGGATACTTTATCACTTGAAATACTGTCAGAAATGCATTAGTCACTGAAAGATCCAAGTTGGACTTTCACATGAATATATTTGAGCATTTAGGAACATATGCATGTAGGTTTAAGTATTTTAAAGCATAGTAAGTGTAAATTGTCTGGTGCTTGTATATTGTTGCTAGTTACTGGTTACTGCCTGGATACTCCTACCCTTGTTGTGTAAACCTGCCTAACACATTATACCTGATTGGTTGACTAAATGGCCTGTACCTGGGCAGGACAAAATGGGGTAGGCATCGCTAAGGTTCCCAGGCTTTGGGTTCCAGAGATTCATGGGAAAGGACAGGTGGGAAGAGAGGAGGAAGGAGAATGCCAGGATGGGTTAGTGTGGAAAAGAAACCACGTGGGCCAGGAGGAAGGACTCTGAGGATGGCATGGAAGGGCCCAGATAAAGAATACAAACAAGTATTTATAAGATTGTGGATGGAAGGTAGCCCAGATAAGGATGGTTAAGGTGGATGGCATTGGATGGGGGCTAGGAGGTAGATGGCAAGGTTATTGAGACAGCATAGTTAGAAGTATCTGCCCAGCTTAAGGTAAATAGACAATGATAAATCTAACAGGTGTCTGTGTCTTATTATTTATGATAACAGGTTAAATAATACCACCGTGATAAATACAGGGTTAATAATAATAATAATAAACATTATGTAGCCCAACACTTGTTTTTATTTACTATATCAGTAAATATAAAAGCAAGGTTAAATAAAATCATCATTCAAACTATGTCTATTATTATCTCTACTACTGAATCTTCCAGAAACAAAAAAAAAAAGTGTGTGTGTGTGTGTGTGTGTGTGTGGTGTGTTAAATCCATTGAATATTGTGGACAGAATATAGAAAATAAAGGTAGAAAATGCCTTTTAAGTGTGTATCCTAGGAATTTTTTTAGTTTAAAAAAGTAGCTAATAGAGAAAATATAAGCTTAAGTGGTCTTGCTACTTTCCCATGATGTTCCTGATGTATGATGAATAGATCCTGATATTCATTATGTTTCATTTCATGCCAGAGTAGGGGCTCCAAAACTGCTAAGCAGAAAGCAAGATTTGTTTACTTGTCTTTCATGTTCAAATCTCAGGGTTGCAAGGATCTTCTAGTTCATGTTCCTGACTGGGCTTTCTCAGTTCACCGATCATAGTGACCACCACCAACTCACCTCTCAGTGGCTTTCCAGTTGCATCGAGAAAAGAATCTGTTCCTTAGCAACAAAATCACAGGAAGGACCCCACCTCACAGGCTGCCCCACCTCACCCACATCTCCAACGAGAATCAGTCACGTGG